TATTTGGGTCCGAACCGCGGTTCGTTTGCGTCATCAAACCAGCAGCTGTTTACCCTGTTGCTTAGTAACAATGGCGCACGAGTAGACGGCAAAATGATCGAACCCGGGTGCGCACCAAAAGTGCTAGTGTGAAAGCACCCTTATTCAGAAGAATCTAAACTTATACAGGTAAAAAGCATGTGCAATATTTGGAATTGGACTTGGTTTTAACTAGAGATACACCGATTGCAATTTTCTTGGCCGATTCCGCTTTTTTGTTAGTGTGATCTGCCGATACCGATTTTTGCTGATTCCGATTTTCTTTCTAAGAACAAAAATCTACTTTTCTTTAACGCAAAGTTTTATTTTCATAAAAAAAACAAGTAAAAAGTCATTAATAAAATAAGAACAAATACAAAAATGGCAAACAACAGCACAAATAAATGCAATAGAATAAAGAGAGCTATGAAATTAAGTTTTTCAGGTTAAGTAAGTTTTTATTCAGTTAAGAAATACTACAGAACTTAAAAATAAAAAGACAAAAAAACTTAAATGAAAATGAGCCGTTTTAGCACAGTTAGCCACTCATTTTGGTATTTGTGGCTCACAAGCTGTTTGAGACTGAGTGCAGCTTGTGCGCTCCAGTAATATAGATCAGTGGTGGTGCGCGCGCTTTTAGTGTAAGCACGCGTTATTGCCTGTGCCGCTGGTAACAAAACGGATCGGCTCGGAATCGAAAAGAAGTGAGACTGATTGGCCGGTCACCGATTCGGGCCGACCATGAGGAAAATCGGCCGATTCTGATCCCTGGCTGATCGATCGGTGCATCTCTAGTTTTAACTCCTCTAGGTCTCTTTTACTTTTCAGTTAATTCTTATGAGAAGTTTTTAATAATGTGAGGCCAGATTTAATTTTAGATTTTTTTTTAAAGATACGCTAAAATTAATTAATTCGTTCATTCATTCGTTCAACCATTCATTCAACCATTCATTCATTTAAACATTCATTCATTTAAACATTCATTCATACAACCATTCATTCAACCATTCATTTATTCATTTAAACATTCATTCATTCATTCATTTAAACATTCATTCATTCATTAATTTAAACATTCATTCATTCATTCGTTCATTTAAACATTCATTCATTCATTCATTTAAACATTCATTCATTCAACCATTCATTCATTCATTTAATCATTCATTCATGTAACCATTCAACCAACCATTCACTCATTCATTCAACCCTCTACGCACACCTTGGAAATATAATTGCCAGTAAATTTATTAATTTACTTGCCAGACTGATATACTATACTATTCTACACACTTGCCAGATTGATATACTATACTATTCCACACACACACACACATACATACATATATATAGACTTATCGTGCAATATATGTACATGACCTCAATAATTTTTGGTGATTAAATATATCGGCCATTATATTTACTTAAAAATTAATGTCACCATGTTTTGTACATTCCACTTGCGCCTGTGTCTTTTGCAGCTTCTTATACATAACGTGGTGTAGTCATGAGGTGCTAGTTCAAATTTAAAAAATGCTTCTACACAAAAAGTTTAATCTGCAGATATGGTCTCGTTTAGGGATCTGTGCCTTTGTGCATACGGACATCTGACTGCTAAGTAGTGATTGTGTTTTTCAGCAATAGTGTGCGCCCTTAATTGCTGTGTGAGGTTTCTGCATGTTGTCCATGTTGAACAATTGTGTCTGCACAAAGTACTACTTTGTTAACCTGTCATGAATTCTGCGGCTTCTCCGCAGCGGTGTGCCTCTGTTTTCACAACTTGGCCACGTGCTCCCTATGCCCCTATTGTGCATGTGTGTGTTTTGCAGTGGTACTTGCTAACTCACACTTGGCTGATAAAAGCTGCTCGCTGTGGCATGGTTACAGTGGGCTTTTTATGTCCATTGGCTGGTGTTTTTTTAAAGGAGTGGTTTCTGATTGAAAGTGCAGAAACGTATCTAATCCCTGATTGGCTGAGGGAGGAGGAAAACCTCCTGTGATTGGACCAAACCCCTCAGATACCCTAGTTGTTTTTTTTCCCTTCCATGCAGTGTTTACATCAGGTCTGAGTTGAGAATCTCTTGACTTTCTCTGAGAGAGAGAGAGAGAGAGAGAGAGAGAGAGAGAGACGAGAGAGAGAGAGAGAGAGACGAGAGCGTAAGTGAGAGCGAGAGGGGGGATCACAGGTGTGTGGACGCGCACTTAAGGATCTGTTTGTGTGAGAGAGAGAGAGAGCGAGAGAGCGAGAGAGAGCGAGAGCGAGAGCGAGAGCGAGAGCGAGAGCGAGAGCGAGAGAGCGAGAGCGAGCGAGAGAGCGAGAGAGAGCGAGAGAGAGCGAGCGAGAGAGAGAGAGAGAGAGAGAGAGAGAGAGAGAGAGAGACGAGAGAGAGAGAGAGAGAGACGAGAGCGTAAGTGAGAGCGAGAGGGGGGATCACAGGTGTGTGGACGCGCACTTAAGGATCTGTTTGTGTGTAAAGTGCTAAGTGTGTTAAACAGCATGACAAGAATAATGTTGAGAGAGGCAAAAGGGTGCGCGTCATTTGTGAGTGTTCAGGCACAGTTTTAAACGACTGTAAGATAAAGTGAAGCTCCTTTCACAGTTTACATTCAGACATTTGTGTTCTTCATAATATTTTCTCATTATATATATTTTTAATTTCCTTGAAAATAGTGGTGTATATATTGACATTTACTATAACGTTAACATTATATGTGCTTTTGTATTCAACACTATTACTTTGCCCTGCTGATGGTCATAAATATGCCAGATAAGTGGAAAAAGTCACGTGACTGAGACAAATACTACAGTAACCATGTAGAAAGTGAGGATAGGCAAGTGCAGTAAAATGCAATAAAATAAAAGTGCAATAAAATGAGACAAAAGTCATTAAAAGTGAACGGATATTAAAATTAATAGGAAAGTAAAAAAACACAATGTTGGAGTACAAGAGTATGAGTTCAGTTTCAGTGTGCTCCTAGAATATTACATTATCACAAAATTATTGAAATTCATTTTGTGCGCATTGACATTAATTACATCACATGGCACTTTTTATGCAGTTTATGTTGTAATATAGTCTACACAATTGAAGTGATGTCAGACAAACTGTTGACTTTTTTTCAATTTAGTTTTACAATTTTTCTCAAGTGTTTTTTCTTCTATTTTAAGTCCCTTGTTCTCCTTTTTATTTTTCCTGAGGTTAAACAGCCTGTGGAATACACTTACACTTTGATCTCATCCAGAAAATGTGATTTGATATTCTTCCTTTATTCTCTCTCTCTCTCTCTCTCTCTCTCTCTCTCTCTCTCTCTCTCTCTCGCTCTCTCTCTCTTTAAAATTAAAATTCACTCATTCGCTTAGGTTTTTTCTTTTCTTTTTTTCTTTCCCTCAATCACTCTTTTGGCTGGGTGGGACCAGTGTAGTGTCCTCATTCATTCTCAGAATGCCCACTGCTTAGCAACAACCAATCAGCCCTCATATTTTTGGAGGGGCCTTCCAGCCAATCAGGAGTGCTGTGCTATAGGATTTTCTGCTCTTCAATCCAATTGGAGAATGAGAACAAATGGTGTTGGCCCAGAGCATTGAGATGAGCAGAACTGAAGTCCCTTAAATTCTGACCTCATCAGTGTTGATGTCTGAAGGGATGTGTTAACTCTCATAGACTTGATCAAAGCGACTCCTTCGCTCTTAGTCCTGCTCTCTACCCTGCAGGTGCGTTTCCTCCTGTCTATTAAAAAGTTCCCTGGCACCTTAGCCATGAAGTGTCCTGTGTAGACTTCAGTTCTTGTTAGCTTTTATTGCATACTACAAAAGAACAAAAAGTTTGTGATAGTTTGGCATGCACACAGAGTTTAAGAGTTTAAAGAGGTCATATGATGCTGCTAAAAAGAACATTATGTTGTGTATTTGGTGTAATGCAATTTGTTTGCGGTTTAAGGTTCAAAAAACACATTATTTTCCATATAATGTACATTATTGTTTCTCCTCTATGCCCCGTCTTTCTGAAACGCGTCGATTTTTACAATGCTCATCCATCGTTCTGAAAAAGCGAGGTGTGTTCTGATTGGCCAGCTATTCAGTGCGTTGTGATTGGCCGAATGCCTCAAGCATGTGACGGAAATGTTATGCCCCTACCATACTGTGATGCCGTCTCCCAGTAGGACGAGGAACTTTACAGATCTTCTTTATGCACCAAGAGCTTGTAACACTCCAAAGAGAAAGGAAAAATTGAAATCGCATCATATGACCCCTTTAAGGGTCAATTTGCACTTGTAATAAATCCAAAATTATCAGCCAAAACTGCTTTCTTAACAGATAATAAACAGTTACTACTTTCAATGATTTTACAACATTCTTGATTAGATTTCAAAATTGTGTAAAATAAGTTATTTTTATTTATATTTTTAATTTTACACCATTAAATTGGATTATGCTTATTTTGGCATTATATTTGCTATTGACCAACATGCACCTAAAATATTGCCAGTGACATTGTAAGAACTTGATTTTTTTTTTTTTTTAATGATCGTTTCTTATGACTATTCTTTTAGTGAGGAAGACTACCTCTTCCTACTTCAGAATGTAGGTATCTTCAATATATAATGTAACCCCACATTAATAGACACTAAATAAAACACTGAAAACACTATTAATTTAATACCAGTTAAATGTAATTTTTAGCTAATTTCAAAATGAACATCAGTTTTCTTTCATAGTGTACACAGCTGTAGGATCACATATAGTATGTGCAATTATTTTAGTTTTAGTGTTTTATTTTTTTTTTATTTAGACAAAATTGTATTTTAATATTGGCCATGTATTGTTATTGGTCATAACATTTGTATTGGCTATAATTCATATACATCCTATAATGTCTCAGTCAAACAAACTTGAAGGTGAAGGGAAATGTCTAGTGTGCAGTATAGAGTGATGGAAACCCTAGTCACTGTTTGTGAACCTGTGTATTTGATGTGTTTGACAGGGTTCTGGTCATCATCAGCACACTGGATGGGAGAATCGCTGCTCTGGATCCTCTAAACCAGGGACGCAAGCAGTGGGACCTAGATGTGGGCTCAGGCTCTCTAGTGTCCTCTAGCCTCAGCAAACCAGAGGTACTGAACGCAGTTTCTCACGACCTTTAAAATACACAAGCTAACAATCATCAGCTGTTTTTTTTTTGGTTAGAATTATTAAACACTTTCTTGTAGTATTTGCATTGATGCAACATAAGAAGGGTTTCTCCCCAAACATGCTCACTGCACGTTTGTCTGTTGTTCATAAGAGTTTGAGTAAATGTGTGCCTGTGTGTGTGAGTGTGTGTGGGAAAAGGTGATGTTTGTTTGAACCTCTTTACCCCAGAAGAGAATGAGACATTGCCCAAAGGAAATTGGATCTGAAACAAGTTACACACACGCGCACGCACACACACACACACACATAGATCACAGACTCGTACTCTCTAGAGACTGAAGACTAGCCTGGAGGAAGAGTGTTTGGCAGCGATGCACTTTTGCGTCTGTGCGCATGCACACATTTACACAAACACACGGAGAAAACATTGGCGCTGCACTAACAGGCTTATAATTAGATTTTTGTACATTGTTACAGAAGTGCTTGATTAATGCTAAGAATTAGTGGTGTCTAAGGATGTCATGATCTGTTTTGACTTTTTTTTCTCCTTTTCTTACTCTGTGTATGTGTGTGTGTATATAGCTTAATGAGCATGTATGTGAGTGATTGTGTTGACCCCCTGTCTGGTTTGGCGGTAACCTGAAATCCATTGGCTAGAATCTTCCTCTCCCCTCATCTTTTACCTCTGGGTGCCTAGCAACCAGCCATTCTGATTGGCTCAGCTGGTGCCTTACAAGGCATTCTGCTCAGTGATTAGAGCAGTCTGCCCCCTTCTGATTGGCCCTCGCCATGGCGCCAATAGAAAGCAGTCACCTATAGCATGCCTCAACAGTAGGAGAGAGGCCAGCAGTAAACAGCATTGTCTGCAGAAACACGCTGTCTCAACACGAGGGGGAGGTGTGATGGAGAGAAAGAATGAGAAAGATGAGAGGAATGAGGAAAAGAAAGATGGGGGGTGGAGAGGGATGCCACTGACAGTGTGGTGTGAGTCATGTGGAGAGGATTGAAGAATGAGGTAATGCCTTATGTGAGGGATGATGTCATCCATAAGAATGCTGACCCCCCCACCCAACAAACACATACACCCCCTTTCATCTATTAGTCTATAGAGCGAACAGTTGTAATTAAAGTACATTAATCCAATGAGCCGAAAATCTGGTATATCTGCACACTATTCAATGCACGATGCCATTTTGTTTGTTTGATTGCAGCACCAAAGGGAATAATTTAATGTGACTCACAGAATAAAGGTATTGACACACTACCGGGCTTGTGCTGTAGACAAAGCTAAGTTCATAAAGTCATTTGAATCTCTGAAAACCTATATTTGGAAGCATGTTTTAGGAACATTAAGATATTTAGCATTTTGACATTTCTGTGACAATTAAGAACATTGTGCCACCAAATTCCCATTACTGTAATGTTTTACCTTTTCAAATTCATAATTATGATCATCCTCATTACTGCAGTACAGCATTTTCTTTTTAAAACGAAATTTAATTTCTTTTAATAAGTTTTGTGATACAATGATTTTTGTAATTTAAATATAAGTAATAAACAATTTTCTTCTTTTCCTATCACGGGGCTGTTGAATGCTTGATTCTGATTGGTTGACAAATGCTTTACAGTTGCTGTTATCTTTCAGTAAGTGCACCTCTATGAAGTAGGTTATGGTCTTTTGGCCGCATTACAGTTTTCACTTCACCAGATTATTTCATTTATTTAAAAGGCCATTCAAAGACAAATGCAACATCAAAGCCACACAGACGTCTCTCTCTCTCTCTCTCTATCTGCTTATCAATGGCTCAAGCCTCCGTTATTAGTTCTATTTTTGAGTTAGCAATGGAGGCTTGGGATAGGACGAATAAAAAAAGTAGTTCAACATACACATCTTAAGGACAAAAAAAAGCATAAATGTCTTGAAATAAAATATTTGACAAATGTCTTGAGGTGTGGTAACCATGGTATAAGCAGAATAATTGACAATAGGCCGATGAATTATTAAAAAATAATGCACACCCAAGATGTAACTGCCACTCCGCTTTGCATTATTGTTGCATTGCCACCACGGGTACGCATTATTTTTCAATAATTCAATGGCCCGTTTTTTATTTTGCTTTATATTACAATGGTAAAAACTTAATTATATTTAAAACGGGCTTCATGTTTTATATATAACTTTTTATATATAATATATAACTTTTCTTTCTTTTAATTTAGCAGTAAAATATGACCCTGACATATTCTCGACAGATTTCTTTTCAGATTTGTTTTCCTCAACAGCACAATGCTCTGCGAACACGCGGCTCTTTGAAGTGTCATTTTGGTGCTGCTCTTTTGCTTTCTTTTTTTGTGTATGTCAGTGATGTCAACTTAAGAGAGATGGCACTCCACTGATATTCTAAATATCTCATCTGTCATGAAAAGAGGCAAAGGAGCATCAGCGTTTTCACAATAATGCTGCTTAGTCCTAAAACCCAGAAGAATATTGGCGTTTGATTTTTAGAATGATGGTTTTTGATTTATGAGTAAAGTAAGATCTGTCAAACCGATCTCATGAGAAAACGTAACTATTTTAATAGTTGGCGATTTCATGTGAATTTGTACAGTTTTATTTGTATGAAAAGCAAGCATGAAGGGTCCACCTCAAAGCCTAAATCTCAATGGGGCGAAAGCAGATCATACAAAAACACACAAATGAGATAATAGAAGTTCATTAGCAGTTGCCAACAATTTGGCAAATTGTCAGGAGAGTGTTTAACAACATGTGAAGAAGAGACTTTCACGGTTTTCTCTACAACATACTTAACCACAGGCCTTATCTTACTTCTAAATTGAATCGTTCTGAAACCCGTATATTCCAGGTTGGCCTACAAATTGATGTAACAACTGAACGACTTTATTACGTTAGGTAAACTGTAAATATTTTGGGTTGTTGTTTTGCTTGATAGCATATCATCTGTAGACCTAAGTGTGTTTATTTGATTTTAAACTGTATGTAGGGTGCACTAAAGTGATTTTTGTGCCAGGAAAAGTGTGAAATTATATGTTTTGTGTGTGTGGGAGACAGAGAGATTTCCGAACAGGAAAGGGAGAGGGGATTGCGCCTAGCTTGATGTAATGCTTTGTGTCAGACTCAGTGGAGCGCTATCATCTGCGGGAGGTCATTGAGTACAGAGGGATATCCTGCCTACATAGACACACTTCATACTCAAACCTGCTGTGATCCCTTAAGACAAGGGCCAGACTGCCTTTGGCTAAATTCCTCAAATTGAATGTGTCAAACAAGATTCCAGAAGTCATTGCCCACAACTGAACTGAGTATTTGATTCATGTTGGGCTGCTATGGGCTTCAGTCTGATAACATGCTTTCTTTGTCCATATGGTCCCTACTCTTTAATGAACACGATGGCAAAGTAGGAATCATCCAATTTAAAGGAAACTGAAGCCAGCGTTGCTTAGTGTGTTCCAGTGTATCTGGGTTTCTGATTACAGTCACTGCAAAAGCTCTCAAATTTCAACCATATTCATGTACATTCAAATATGATGTGGCAAGTTATGGTTGACAATTAAAGAGAGGATATTACAGAAATAACAAAATCTTGATTTGCCCATCAAATTGCCCATCAAAACTTGATTTAATTATTGAGGCCCATCAAAACTACAGCTTCTGTGGCATTTTAAATTATATACATGAGCAGTTGACACCATATTTGCCACTGAAGTGCAAAAAAGAGCTTTGCCAAATATCCCCTGTCAGAGAGCATTTTCAATACCAGGCTACCAGCTTGGTGCTTCAGTCCTCCCTGAAATCCAGTGCATGACAATTTGTGCCATGTGTCTTTTTACTGAAGCTTCACATTTGTTTAAATACCAGAGCACACTGACATGAGATACTGTAGAGGTTAAATTACACACTTCGTAAAAAGCAGCTGACCTTTTACATTTACAGCTTGTAGTTAAGAGGTTTAAAAGCTGGTCTTCCTTTCATGTAAGCCATAAAACCTCCTTGTTGTGTAATAAAAATTCATTCTCTGAAAAGTCACTGGAGCCTCCTTATGCATGTATTATTATTATTTTATTTTTTTTATTTGGACACTGGGAGTTTTTGGACACTGGATATTTTTTTTTTTAATGAATGTAAAATGGTATAGTATATTAAAAATAAAGCCATAACAGTAACTTTTAACCAGGTGTGAATGTATGTAGGCAGTTCCTCTCAAGTCCTAGCAGAGTAATCACAGGTGTAGTTCATTAAATTAGCTATCGTCCACTAACTTTTTTTTTGCAGAATGATTTGCTTAAAGTCTGTTTATCTTTCTTTAGAATAAATGTACTGTAAAATAAAATAAATGTGAAATAAATGTAGTTTTTAAAATAAGTTTGTTTTTCTCCAATGCTATGAAATTGAGGTTTTTATTTTATATAACTTTTTAAAATAATTATATTATTTTAATACATTATCATATAGTTATATTAATTGAGACAAAGCATTACATTTTTTGCTTGCATACTAGTTTTTAAATAGATGTGTCATTTTGTGTAGCTGACACTGTAGCTTTTCAGAAGCACTCTTTTACAGCTAATGGCATTAATGAAGTTCTGGACATTGGCTGGGGTTAAATCCGTGCTCTTCTAATTGATTGGCTTTAATTGTTCATTGATTTTTAGGATGTAGTAGGGCTGAGGATGATTGAAATCTCACCCAAAGTCAAGCTCCTGTAGAGCTCAGACAAATAGAGATCAGACAAATAGATCACATGATGGATTAACACAATGTAGCACAGTGATGAGTCATCATTGCAGCACGCGCGCACACACACACACACACACACACAGACTCACTTTAAACCTCTTACCCTCAGTACCACTGCATGCTCTTCATAAGCCCCGCCCACCCACATGTGATGGACAGATGAGCTAATCCCTTCAATTCTCAGCCAATCACAGTGGATGTTTTCGTTCTCCAGGTGCTTGCTTTCTCATGGTGTTTCAGCTTCCTATTGGTCCATACCAGTTGTCAAGGTTAGATTTAGCACTACAGGAAGTCAGTGATCCCACACTCACCACCCCCCCCCCCATTTTTTAATGTGTCTGCTTGAGCTGAGATCACTTTTTGGATTAGGGTCAGTATAATATCAATATATACAGCACAATATCCTTATATAATGGCCTTTTCTTTTTTATCAGTGTGTCTGTGCGTGTGTGTGTTCAGGATACTTGTGCCCATTAGTCCCTGTTTATCCTTAAGGATGTGTAGGATTGTGTAACTCATCGGACAACATTAGACCAAGCGCCAAATGTTAATGGCACCCTGTGATAATGCCACGCACAGACTCAAAGCTGATTGGTCAGTCTCAGTTTTGCCTGTCCCCTTATCTCTATCCATCATGGTCTGCTCATTGTATCCACCCTGCTGCTGCTGATGATCGAAAACGTGAAATATTTCCCAAGATAAAAATCATGTGCCACTTTGACTCATTTACCACAACAATCAGATCAAAAATAATAAGATTCTCATGAACTCTTTCTGTTCTTCAGATTTTTGGGAACAAGATGTTCATTCCCTCTCTGGATGGAGCTCTGTTTCAGTGGAACAGGGACAGGGAGAGTATGGAGGCTGTTCCATTCAGTGTTGAGTCCCTGCTGGACTCCTCGTACCGCATCGGAGAGGACACTGTGATTGTAGGGGGCAAGTCCCTCACCATGTATGGCCTTGGCGCATACAGCGGCAAGGTAACTCAAACCCTTTTTTTCAATAGAACAATAAATGATTGATGTGCTGTTGTGGCACTATGCAAACTCTTTTATCATATAGTATTGGTTGTCCGCTTTAACCTGCCTCTCCTTTTCTCTGTAGTTGAAGTATATTTGTTCAGTGGTGGGCTGCAGTCGGTGGGGAGACGAGGAAGGAGAGCCAGAGGACGTACTGTTATTCCAGAGAACACAGAAAACTGTCAGAGCCGTGAGGCCTCGCAACGGGTTTGAGAAGTAAGAAATACCCACAGGCTCTGTTGAGCGCTTCATGTGACCTTGCTTTTGAGTTCACAAATGATACAGAGGTAGATTGGATGCACGATATGCTAGCTTGTATCAGCATCGCATAGTTTGGCAGCTTGATATTGAAAAACAATTGTAGAATAGTAGTCGTCCAGGTAAAATGCCAGTTGTTTTCTGTTTTCTCTCCCTGTTAGATGGAACTTCAGCGTGGGAAACTTTGAGCTAAAATTCATCCCAGAAATTCAGTCCAACATCAACTTTCTGGAGGGGGAGGCATCTAATGGGGAGACATGGCGAGAGGTCAGACATGAAGCACAACGCGTCATCCAAGAGGAAACAGACGCACAAACCAAAAATCATGCTAATACGCATCCAAACTCGCACACTCAGGTAGAGGGCTTAGACCTGGTCATTAAGGTTTCTGTGCCGGACTGGAAAGTCATGGCCTTCAGCACCAAACCAGAAGGACAGCTGATCTGGGAGCATCAGGTAACACAACTCAACCTGTTTTGTTGCCGTTTGGGGTCTCAGCTGAAACTTGTGATGAACAAATTCACATTTCTCATGATTTTTTCTTTTATTTCCTTTTTGTAAAGTTTTGTACGCCCATTGCCTCTGCATGGTTGGTAGGAGGGGGGAAGGTGACACCCATTAGCCTGTTCGATGACAACTCTTATAACTCCCACACTGAGACTGAAGCTCAGGAGGATGATGACATCATGGAGGAGGCCCGCGGGGCCACAGAGTCCAGCGTTTACCTGGGTAACACACACTTGACATTTGTTTTACACACATGATTGTGTAAGAGAACCTGTTTACATCTGGTATAAAAATTGGTATTGGCTGAACCAGTTAATAGTCAGGTCTAAATACAGGTGTAAACTGTGTCTCAAATGTTTTTGGGATCCCTTCATTCAAGCTACATTTGGAGGTGGTAAATGCTATTGCATCCTGATGCTTCCGGGGCAACAGGGAAGGACCGCGTCCTGACCTGTCAGTCAACCGTTATGATAAAACAAGGGCTATAACTTTGCTGTTTACTCAAAATTTGAAAAGCCAACTTTAAACATAGTTAATACAGTTGCTCAGCTAAAATTAGTATTCTGTATTAGTATTAGTATTTACTCATTTTGGGTTCAGTAACGGTTTTTAATTGAAAACTATTTTTTTTATACTTGAGCAAGGATGCATTAAATAGATTATCAGTGACAGTAAAAACATTTTTATTGTTTTAAAATTCATGATAAATGTCATTATTTGAAGTAATGTTCTGCTTTTCTGTTGAAATTTCTGATCATGAAAGATTAGAAAATTAAATATTAAACAGCACAACTGTTTTTTTAACATTGATAACAGTAATAAATGTATCTTAAGCAGCAAATCAGCATATTATAGCATATTATTTCCCTTGAATGTAAACTTGGTGACTTTTGATAAATTCAGGGTTGTTGCGGTCATGGATAGCCAGATAATTTTGAAGTCATGGTGATTTCTAGGCCTTTAAAAGTCGTGAAAAAGTTCTCTAGCGAATAAACATTTTTATAGTTGTTCTTAGTTATACAATGTTTTATTGTTATGAATATTTAGAGATGTTGCAATGTCTATTAAATTATTTTTTTAATCATACTAAATACAAAATGGTGTAATTATTAAATATTTTACTTTGAATTTAAAATAAAGTCAGATCTGTTGCCTAGCACATTTCTTCTTATAATGTTATTATCAATGTTGCTTAATATTTTTGTTGAAAACCATGATACACTACGATTCAAAAGTTTGAAGTAAGATTTTAATATTTTAAAATCTTCAAAATGTATTAAAAATTTTTTAAATTAATTAATACAACTTTTATTCAGGTAGGACGCATTAAATTGATCAAAAGTGCCAGTAAAGACGTTTATAATGTTACAAAAGGTTTTTGTTTTTATTTATTTTTAAATGTTCTTTTGAAATTTTTTGAAATTATTTTTTTAATTCGTCACCAAATAGAAAGATGGAGAAAAAATTATGGTAAGACTTTCTATGAAGCCTGTATTTATAATACAATATAAGGGTATTCTCAAGGCATTATAATGAATGCATAATGCATTATAAAAAAAAACGTATAAAATGTTGTATCATCTCATAAATAATCATAACAACAATTATAATACATTGTAATACTTACGCATTTGTGGTTATAACTTTTAAGAGTATGACTATTTATAAAACACAATATCATATTAAATCTACTTAATATATAATGGATTATCTCATATCGTGACATTGTTTAAGATCTGCACAATATCTTACTACATCATGTGAGAGGTTAGGAGTGGTTGAGTGTTTCCTGAGGTTAATGTTAATTTTTTCTGTGAGCTAGTTTAAGATCAGTTGTAATACTTTCAAATGAAAAAAAAGAAATGCATTTTTTTTTTAATATTACATTACATTTTATTTTGATGGTCCCCTTAGTCTATTGACTATAAGCAACTTCGCAACTACATGCCAACTAACTCTCATTTAGAGCATTAATAGACTTAGGTTAAGGTTATGGTTGGTAGAATAAGTCGACGTACTTAAAGAGTTGAATGTCTGTTGGGGAACCATCAAAATAAAGTGTTCGCAGATATTTAGCAGACATACTAATACTCCAATGGCTGCTAGTTGACATGTAGTTGCAAAGTTAATTATCAACAGTTGTTTAAGGGGTACCGGCAAAATAACCATTCTGATATCACAATAAAAATAGTTCAAAGCAAATGTGAACACATTCATCTGATAACTGATTTGTTGGCTGTTTGAGAAAAAAATATAGGAAATATATTTTGGGGATTTAATATTGGGAATATATAATTCATTGTAACTTAAGTGGATGCAACATGTTCATCGTGTGTTATAAATCATCATCATTCTCTTAAATGCTATAACCACAAATACGTAAGTATTATAATACATTAAAACTGTTCTTATGATAATTTATGAGATGATACAACATATTCTAAGGTTTTTTATATTGCATTATTCATTCATTATAATGCCTTAAGAATACCCTTATAATGTATTATAAATACGGGCTTCATAGAAAGTGTTACCGAAATTATAAAATTAAATCTGGTGTATCTTAGTGAAGCAAGGGCATTAACTGCTATTTATTTTTACAGTACTGCTGACTGGCTGCTGAGCTCTCCTGACCACATGGAGGCGTTCTCAGTCAAGGTTCCTGTGGCCACTCCTTCTCCAGTGGACTCCTCATGCATGTGTGCGGCTGGTGGGGACATGAGCGTGTGCGTCGGGGATCAAGTGTGTGTGGAGGGCCTGGGGCCGCACAGTATGATGTCAGAGCGTGACAGTCAGGCTGACCCAGACGCTGTCCTGGAGGTCTCAGATTCCCCACACTCCTTTGAGCTCTGCCCTCCCCGCACAGTTACTCATGGCGACTGCACTTCTTCCTCCTTCGATATCGTCTTCGAGGACTCAGGTTGTGAACACCAGGACAATGACAGTGGCCTCAGCGGAAGTACACCAGTGCCACCTGCGTGCCTTTCACAGTCTGACCCCAAACCTCAGTGTAGTGTATCAGCGGGACCTCCCGCTTCCTTACCTTCAAGGCCCACCTCTCTGAGCCTGGCCCCCAGCACCCCCTGTCCTGCCACGCGGCCCCCGCTCACACCTAAGGTCTACTTGTACATTCAGATGCAGCTGTGCAGGAAGGAGAACCTGAAGGACTGGATGGCTCAGAGGTGTCTGCCTGAGCTCAGGGAACACGCTCAGTGCCTGGACATCTTCCTACAGATCGCAGAAGCTGTGGATTTCCTGCATAGCAAAGGGCTTATGCACAGAGATCTTAAGGTAGGTGCTGAAAAGGAAACGTACTTGCAGTGAGGGAGTTTTCCAGAACAAACTGCTCATTCATTTTCTTTTCTTTCTTTCTCTTTTTCTCTCAGCCATCTAATATCTTCTTCACAATGGATGACGTGGTGAAGGTGGGAGACTTTGGACTGGTCACTGCCATGGATCAGGAGGAAGATGACGAGGAGCTGAGTACCCTCACACCAATGCCAGTCTATGCCCGTCACACTGGCCAAGTGGGCACTAAACTCTACATGAGCCCTGAACAGGTCAGTTCCAGTCACTCACTGCACCAACTGCACACAATTGAGTGTGAAAACAGTCCTGGTGTTTAACATAAAACGATCAAATTGCATGGCAGGAGATAAAAACAGCATAAAGGAGGGATCTGAGAGTCATAGAGACTTAAGGTGGGCTCTTTTGACTTAGACATGTGGCTATGTAGTTGCTAACTGGCCCAAGAACACCTTGACAGACTCGTAACAACATCCTAGTAACCACCCATAATACTCTAGCATCAAGGAGGGGTGACATGTTTATGGCCAAGTACCACTTACATTTTTATTTTGATGTAAAATGTAAAAATCTTTTTATTTAAAAACTATTTTTTCCCTTTCGTCTCTTCTTTTTCCCTCTGTAGCTGTCTGGGAATTCTTATTCTCACAAGGTAGACATATATTCCCTCGGCCTGATTCTTTTTGAGCTTCTCTATCCATTCCGCACCCAGATGGAGAGAGTCAGGGTAAGACCATTGTTCAGATTTTTGGGGCCTGTAAGATTTTTGTTTTTGAAAGTAGTCTCTTACTATAAACTTACCAAGGCTGCAATTATTTGATCAAAAAAATAAAAATATTGTGATTTTTGTAGCAATATAAATGTATTTACTGTCACTTTTGATCAATTTGATTTGTCCTTGTTGAATAAAAGTATTAGGATAAATTATTTCCAAAAAAAAAATCTTACTGACCCTAAGCTTTTGAACGCTAATGCAATCAATTAAATGAAAGAATAAAAATTGAGTAGTATATTTTATGAAATTGTACCAAATGATAAACATCTAACTGTTTTTCTTTCAGACTCTCACAGAGGTCAGAGCCCTGCAGTTTCCTGTTGCTTTTTGTAAGGCCAATGTCCTGGAAGTAAGTTTGTTTGTTTGCCTATGCTGCTGGGTATTTTGCAATGGATGTGGGAGGTGGAGTGGGAGTGACCTTACAATTGGGAAATCCTAAAGATGAACAACACTTCCGGTGCCCCCTATAGGTGCCAAGTTACAATTACAACATCAACATCTCCAGTCTTAATATTTTCCATTCATACAGCAGCAGAATGCAGTTGTTAGACCTGTTTTAGAATACTACATTTAGAATGTTAAATCACCTGTATCTGTATAGTACATACCGTTTTATATAAATACATTATACATACGTTCATATATTCATACATTACAGAAAATTGAGCACAACTCTGTAGAGTACAGGTTTGTTTTCCCACCATTTTCTGTTGTGAGAATAAAAAATGTCTTGCCTTTGGTTATTCGTTCAAATAGACAGTATTGAAACTGCTACTGTAAGCAAGTGGTTCTCAACTATTTTAACTCAAAGGCCCCCTATATTTAAGCTATATTATAACTGTAACTATATATATATAATATATATAA